AAATAACATTCTTAACCAACACCGATTGGAAGATTCTTAGGAATTACGTCCAGGAAACTGAGTTTCTGAACATTCAGTAAACAATTTTTTTTTTTTTTTTTTTTTTTTTTTTTTTTTTTCTTGAATTGGAGCGCACAACAGGCCCGATAGTGGCCTAGGTGTATTTCTTCGGATTTGATGTAGTATACATCCTCCTATCAACCTAACCTAACCTAACCTATTGCCCTGTACATTGCACTGTCCTAGAACCCAACACAGCCTCATTATATCAAGAGCATTACTACATTGCACTTGTGCCTGCACCGTATTACATCGACAGCTTGACTATCGACATAAACTATAACTAAAGACCCCAGAACTATATGCTCACGTATCAATCCCGTCGCTTTGCAGTTTGATAAGATCTCTTGGAAAACAAACCATTCGTTAAGGAGGTTTAAAGATCTTTTTATGTCCATGTCAACGATGTGGACACCTGTACCAGGGTCCATCTTGGATCCATCGTTAAATACTACACACTCCTCAAACAGTTTGTCGAATATACATCATTCTTCCCTATTCGGAAGCTCTTAGTCAGTGTTGCACCGAAATCTAAAGTCGTAATCCTAAGATCTGAAATTCTACTGGGAATATTATACTGATCAAATAGACAAATTTCGTAGCAGAACACCTTTGAACTTCGTTAAGTATCTTTACATGTACGTTCTCAAGACCTTTCATCAGACAATGCAACCATAAGTGAGAATAGGTCTGACAACTGATGTGTAAATCCAGTTTAACATATCGGACCGCATACACCATTTCTACCCTTTAGTTAGGGAACTGAACCTAGTAGACATTCATGCCTAAATAGTAGAGCACGAAGGAGCAGTACGGACTGACTGGAATATGAAAGATATTACGTGATTACTAAGACCCTATTATGGGGAAAATAGCGCCATTCAGAAGCTGAAGTAATTGAATCTGCTCTTTGACAAGCACCTCGATCTCTCAGTGATATCGAAAAGTAAGCATTAGACCCAATTAAACATTCTCCTTAGAAAACTTGACTAAAGTTTAGCAAGTTTACCTTAAAATCTCAATTTAACATCACTATTTTCTAGACATTCATTATAACGAACAGGGCCAATTAACAATTTTACACAATTATAAATCAAATAACTGTAGAAATCGCAGTAAATATTAGTACATACTTATGTATTAAAAACTTATTGTAAAATGTATATAAAATGATAACGAAACGAAAATTTGGCGAATAAAAAATATTCATAAAATTAGCAAATATTAGTTTTAAAGCATACAAATGCCAAGTTAAATTTCAAATTAAACTAAAAACCAAAAATTAAGTTTTTAAAGTTTGAGGTTAAAAATGATAAATGATATATTAAATATTTGATATGTGTGTATGTTTTTAATTACCGCAAAAGCTTGACTAATGACAACACGCCAATTCATGGGTAGAATTGTATCAACTGTATCGATATCTTTTGAAAAACGATTAACAATTCTACCCAAAGGTGTGGTATCAAATAATTCCATCGGCCAGTGCATGATATTGTCTAATAATGTCTCATGTAAGATTTGGGCGCATTTTATACAACCGATGGCCAAAGACAACGAAAATACAAAATGTACTAAAACTATAAAAAAAAGGAAAAGAAGAGCAACAAATGTTTGGTTGTTTGTGTTTTTTAGATGTAAGACGAAATTGTTAAGAGTAAAAACTAATAGTAGATAGATTTTAAATAAAAGTTTAAATTTTATCTGTTTTTAATACAGTTTTTAGAAAAGTGTTAATAAAGAGTGCTTTTATTTAGAAAGTGTTAAAAAAGGTGCTTTTATTTGTAATAGTTTAAAATTTTTTTGAAAAGTTTCGTATTTGTTTCGAAATTTCTTAATGTGTCATAATTACACGTTATTTTCTTTTAATTTAGACATTTGTACAGTTAAAGACATTTAATAGTTGTAAAGAGACAGTATAGAAAATGTTTAGATAGCAAGTGCAATTATAGGAATATAGTCGATTTTTAGCAGTTTCCTTATTTGACCAGGTAATAGACTAGTCTATTGATTACTTTATTTCCTATTCTATCTTCTATTGTCTAGTTTAATTCCTATTCTATTGACTAGTCCATTAACATTTGGTATTAACTTTGGGAATTGGAAATGATAAATGATATATTAAATATTTTATATAAGTGTTTGTGTGTTTTTTTTAAATTACCGCAAAAGTTTGACTAATGACAACGCGCCAATTCATTGGTAAAGTTATATCAACTGTATCGATATCTTTTGAAAAACGATTAACAATTCTACCCAATGGTGTGGTATCAAATAATTCCATTGGCCAATGCATGATACTGTTTAACAATGTCTCATGTAAGATTTGGGAACATTTTATACAACCGATGGCCAAAGTCAACATAAAGAGAAAAGTTATTAGAACTATATAAAAAGAAAAAAAAAAGCAACAAATGTTTGGATGTTTGTTTGTTAGATTAAAAAGCTAATAATTAATAGAAAGTGTAAATTTTGACTGTTTTTAGTACAGTTTTAATTTAAAAAGTGTTAAAAAATAGTGCTTTTATAAGAAATAGTTTCAAAAGTGTTTGAAAAGTTGTGTATTTTTCGAAATTTTGACAGAATTTGATTTGGAAATACGTATAAAGACATTTAGTTGATAGTTTTAAAGAGATAGTATAGAAAAGTTTTAGATTGTAAGAGCATTTATATATAATATAGTAGATTATTGGCTGTTTTCTTATTGTTGTTGGCCCTAAATAATTTCGCTTTTTAGTGCTTGCATGAGAACTAATGTTTAAAATTTTGTATCAGAAGAAAAAAATAACATTTTGGATACAAATCTATAGACAGTCTATGAATTAGTCTACTGTATGGACTAATCTATTGATCATTATATTGACTAGTTTATGAACTTGACTAAATTATTGACCAGTCTATGGACTATTCTATTGACTATTGTATGTACTAGCCTATGGATTAGTCTTCCACTTGTCTATGAGCTAGTGTACTAGTCTATTAACTCTTATATAATAGACTTGTTTATTTACTAATCTATAGATTTGTCTATTAACTAGTTTATGAACTAGTCTATGGAATAGTCTATTGGCTAGTGTTGACTAGTGTATGAACTAGTCTATTGATTAGGCTATGGACTAGTCTATGTACTACTCTATGAACTAGTTGATTGACTAGTCTATGGACCTGTATATGGACCAGTCTATTGACTAGTCTATGATATTGTCTATGACATAGGTTATGGACTAGTTTATGAACTAGTCTATGGACTAATCTATTGGCTAGTCAATGGACTAGTCTATGGACCAGTCTAATGACTAGTCTATAAACTTGTCTATGACCTAGTTTATTGACTAGTCTATGACCTAATCCATGGATTAGTCTATGACGCAATTCATGGATTAGTCTTTGAACTACTCTATTGGGTAGTCTTTTAACTGGTATATTGACTAGTTTTTTAGCTAATCTATTATCTAGTATATGGACTAGTCTATTGACTAGTATATGAACTAATCTATTAACTAGTCAATGGACTAATCTTTTAACTAGTCTATGGAATGGTATATTGACTAGTCTCTTAACTAGTCTTTGCACTAGTTTATTGGCTAGTCTATTAACAAGACTATTGACTGGTCTATGAACTAGTCTATGGACTAGGCTACTGACTATTCTATAGATTAGTCTATTGTTTAGGAATAGGAATTAGTCTATTTACTGTCTAGTCGGTTGACAAATCTATGGATTATTCTATTAACTACACTACAGACCATTGACTAGTCCATGAAGCAGTCTATTGACTTGTATAGGTCTAATCTAGATTAGTATAAATTAGACTATTGACTAGTTTTCACTAGTCCATTGACTTGTCTATTAGACTGCCTGTTAGCTTCTCTTCTGATACAAAATTTCTATAAGAAATTTTGAATGAAATTTTATGTTCGAAATTGTAAATGAATTGTGAATTAAAATTAGCAAAAAAAAAATTACCGAATAAGCTTGAGTTATAACAACACGTATATTTAAGGGCAAAACATTGTCAACTGTATCAATATCTTTTGAGAAACGATTGACAATTCTACCCAACGGTGTAGTATCGAATAATTCCATGGGCCAACGGAAAACATAGTGTAGCATAATAAAGTGCATATCCCTAGAGCAATAAACGCAACCCAATCCAATGGCTAGTGTTGCAAAGAAACTGGTTGCAACTAAATAGCGTGTTAGAAATAAATGTTATTACTTTTTTTTTTGAAACTATTAAAATAAGGGATACTAAAGAGCGGGGTGGTAGTAGCAAATAAGCGGGAAGGAAATGAAAGTTTTTTTTTAAATGTCGAAAGAAGAAGAAATAATAGTTAAATACGTTTTAAGTTATAAGGCTGGGGTTTATCAGTGTTTTTGAAAGTAGCAATTTTGTTTTTACTTTAACGTCAATGAAGTAAATTATTTATTAATTCCAATTGTGGGGGTCATGCAAAAACGTATTGTAACCTTTATGAAACAATAAACGCAACCCAATCCAATAGCTAAGAATTATGGGATATTTGTTATAAAAAGCAGTAAATGTTAGTAGGATTAGGATTTAGAACAGCAAAAGCAGGGGAAATACACATAAACTTATTACCTACAGCTAGCAAACACAAAATAAAAGCAAATTCTTAATTTACAAGAAAATAAAAAGCCAACTTAAAATAATTACAAATAAACATTATACAAAATTATTATAAAACTTAATATAACTAAATAAAACAAGCTACTAACCAAAAACATAAACAATTGCCAAAAACCATACATTCCATTTAAAGCAAATTTAAACTTAAAATTAAATTTTCATAACCAAAAACCATAACAAAACGAAACGTGACATTGAAAAAAAGTCCCTTAAACCAAAAACATTTATGAGACGATTTACAAATATTACAATTTTTTAGATTTTCAATTGGTTAACAAAACAAACTTACCTTGGCCAAAACCAAAGGCACCATAAACACCCAAATACATGTCTCTTAGGCCGGTATCATTGCTCACAAGTTTGTCGTTGGACCATTTGGTCAACCATAGATTTGAACCGATTTGGAATGCTTGGAATACAAAGTTCAAAATTAAAGTAGCCATAGAAAGGAAAATGCCCACACTTTTAATGTAATGTTTGTAAACGGCAAATTCAACCTGGAATGATAAAACAGGACATTAACAATAAAATAAATTAAAAATAATTTAAAAACGTTTTCAAAGTTCTTAGATTCTGTATCATTGTCTACTTACACCACCAGTACGTGACTTTTCAGTTTCTATAAGTTTGCCTTCTTCTTCAATTTGTAATTTCGTTTTGGATGTGGCTGAAATCATAGATGTCTGCGAATCTTGTCTATCAATGCGGCGGCGTCTTAAACTACTTCTGCCACTTTCAAAGGAACGTACAGAACTGAAATTGAAAATATTTTTATATAGTAGTGATTATATAACACGAAACTCGCTTAAAACTTACACAGAATCTGATAAACTTTCAGTTCTAGCCAATTTAATAACTTTCTCAAATTTGCCTTTAAGTTCATCCGATTGTAGAGTGCCCTCCAATTGTTGTTTAATAACATCCAAGTCTTCAACTTCTTCATTACCCTCCTGGATATGTTGCAAAAGGAAATCGGAGAAATCACCCTTTTTATTTAGCAATTCCTGATAAGTGCCATATTCACTAATTTCACCCATTTTCATGACATAAATATTATCGGTCTGTGGCAGGAAGGTAATACCATGAGTAACTAAAATTCTAGTCTTCTTAGCTAATAAACCCTTGGGTCCCACAACTTCTTCGAAAATATGTTTGCCCACATGAGAATCGACGGCACTAAGAGGATCATCCAAAAAGTAAAGATCAGCATCACTGTACACAGCACGAGCCAAGGAAATACGTTGTTTTTGACCACCTGATAAATTAATACCCTTTTCACCAATTTCAGTTTTATCGCCAGCCGACAGCATATCAATATCAGCTCTTAAGGCACAGGCATCAATGACACGATTATAACGCTTGCGATCGTATTCCTTGCCAAACAAAATATTTTCTCTCAAAGTGGCATTCTGAATCCAAGCCTGTTGTGGCACATATGCTATAGAGCCTACAGTATTAACACTACCCGATATTTTTTCCATTTCACCCAAGAAAGCTTGTATCACCGAAGATTTACCCGAACCTACTGTACCCACAATGGCGCACAAAGTATTCTTTTTAACTTCAATATTAATATTCTTCAAGGTAACATCATCATCGCCCCAGGAGAATGAACCATTAACAATGGACAAGGGATTGGCTGAAAACATAAAAAATGGATTATTACCTAGTAGACTTTAAAAGTACTATAAAATACTAACGTTTTTTGGGATCATGTTGTACATTATTGGGATCTAACTCTTCACTGTTCATGAATTTGTTAATACGTTGCACCGAAACTTGAGTCTATTGGGGAAATTTTGTGTTGTAATGGAAAAAGGTTTGAGATTAGTTTTCAATTATTAGCCGTATATTACACATATAACATTAATAAGCAGGCAGTTATAATAAATAAAAAGCATAAGCAAAAGTTTTACTTTTGTTAATAAATTTAATAAAGTAAAACTTTACGGTTAGTATATGGGATTTAAAATGGAAGGGAATAAATGGGTGTACATTTTGGTATGGGAAATTTGTAAAGAATTTTAGTTGAATGTCTTAAAAATTCAATGGGAAAGGTGCTTAGGAAAGTTTTTAATAAATGAAAGCTGTTGTCATATTTAAAACAGTTTTTGTTGTTTTTATATGGAACTGTTTAAACAATTAGTAAAAGCTGGTTTGGATTTAAATGTTTGGACTGTTTTTTTTTTCAATAATGAATTATTAAATATTTTCTTTTACTCTTTATAGAAAAACTTAATGAAAGTATGAATCTGAACAAAGAGTTGAAACAATAATGGACTTGTTTATAAACTCTGAGTAAGATTAGAAATAAAAATCTATTAGAGTGATCTCGAAACTAATTATGGAAATATGAGAAAAGAAAATGTTTTCTGCGCCATTATCGAACATTAGTTTAATAATTTCCATCTATTATATGTAGATTCTGGAACTAAGATTAGTCGAATAATTCTGGCCATTACGGTTGTTGTTTAATAACATCTTAGACTTCAACTTCTTCGTTACTCTCTGGTATACATGTAGCAAAAGGAAATTGAAGAAATCGCATCTTTTAATTAACAATTCCTTATAGGAACAATTTGTGGCAGGCATTAGCAGGTACTTAGATAATTTTTCACTACTTTTTGATATCGAAGAATACCGCGGTACCCCCTCAATATTCATGGTACATTTTCTAACTTACAAGTTTTTGATGATAATTTAGTTTATAATCTAGTCTCTAGTATATTCTATAGTCTAGTCTATACTCTAATCTACAGTCTAAACTCAAGTCTATAGTCTAGTCTTCAGTTTTTAGTCTAGTTTTTAGTGCAGTCTTTAGTCTAGACTCTAGTCTAGTTTTTAGTCTAGTCTTTATTCTAGTCTTTAATCTAGTATTTAGTCTAGTATTTAGTCCAGTATTTAGTCTAGTCTTTAATCTAGTCTTTAGTCTAGTCTTTAGTCGAGTCTTTAGTCTAATCTTTAGTCTAGTCTTTAGTCTAGTCTTTAGTCGAGTCTTTAGTCTAGTCTTTAATCTAGTCTTTAGTCTAGTTTTAGTCTAGTTTTAGTCTAGCTTTACTCTAGTCCTTAGACTAGTCTATAGTCTAGTCTATAGTCTAGTTTATAGTATAGTCTATAGTCTAGTCTATAGTCTAGTCTATAGTCTAGTCTTTAGTCTAGTCTTTAGTCTAGTCTTTAGTCTAGTCTTTTTTCTAGTCTTTAGTCAAGTATTTAGTCTAGTCTTTAGTCTTGTCTTTAGTCTAGTCTTTAGTCTAGTATTAAGTCTAGTATTTAGTCCTGTATTTAGTCCAGTATTTAGTCCAGTCTTGACTCTAGTCTTTAGTCTAGTCTTTAGTCTAGTCTTTAGTCTAGTCTTTAGTCTAGTCTTTAGTCTAGTCTTTAGTCTAGTCTTTAGTCTAGTCTTTAGTCTAGTCTTTAGTCTAGTCTTTAATCTAGTCTTTAGTCTAGTTTTAGTCTAATTTCAGTATAGTCTTTAGTCTAGTTTTTAGTCTAGCCTTTAGTCTAGTCTTTAGTCTAGTCTATAGTCTAGTCTATAGTCTAGTTTATAGTATAGTCTATAGCCTAGTCTATAGTCTAGTCTATAGTCTAGTCTATTCTAGTCTATAGTCTAGTCTATAGTCTAGTCTATAGTCTAGTCTATAGTCTAGTCTATAGTCTAGTCTATAGTCTGTCTAGTCTATAGTCTAGTCTATAGTCTAGTCTATAGTCTAGTCTATAGTCTATAGTCTAGTCTATAGTCTAGTCTAGTCTAGTCTATAGTCTAGTCTATAGTCTAGTCTATAGTCTAGTCTATAGTCTAGTCTATAGTCTAGTCTATAGTCTAGTCTATAGTCTAGTCTATAGTCTAGTCTATAGTCTAGTCTATAGTCTAGTCTATAGTCTAGTCTATAGTCTAGTCTATAGTCTAGTCTATAGTCTAGTCTATAGTCTAGTCTATAGTCTAGTCTATAGTCTAGTCTATAGTCTAGTCTATAGTCTATTGTAGTCTATAATCTAGTCTATAGTCTAGTCTAGTATATAGTCTAGTCTATAGTCTAGTCTATAGTCTAGTCTATAGTCTAGTCTATAGTCTAGTCTATAGTCTAGTCTATAGTCTAGTCTATAGTCTAGTCTATAGTCTAGTCTATAGTCTATAGTCTATTCTAGTCTATAATCTAGTCTATAGTCTAGTCTAGTATATAGTATAGTCTATAGTCTAGTCTATAGTCTATAGTCTAGTCTATTCTAGTCTATAATCTAGTCTATAGTCTAGTCTATAGTCTAGTCTATAGTCTAGTCTATAGTCTAGTCTATAGTCTAGACTATAGTCTATAGTCTAGTCTATAGTCTAGTCTATAGTCTAGTCTATAGTCTAGTCTATAGTCTAGTCTATAGTCTAGTCTATAGTCTAGTCTATAGTCTAGTCTATAGTCTAGTCTAGTCTATAGTCTAGTCTAGTCTATAGTCTAGTCTATAGTCTAGTCTATAGTCTAGTCTATAGTCTAGTCTATAGTCTAGTCTATAGTCTAGTCTATAGTCTAGTCTATAGTCTAGTCTAGTCTAGTCTATAGTCTAGTCTATAGTCTAGTCTATAGTCTAGTCTATAGCCTCGTCTATAGTCTAGTCTATAGTTTAGTCTATAGTCTAGTCTATAGTTTAGTCTATAGTCTAGTCTATTTGTCAACATTATGTTGTATTCTCTGACTGGAAGGACATTCCTTTCATCATGTAGGAGGTGCCCGGAGGTTATTCGCATAAAGCCCGTAAGTCTTTAGGCCACGACACACATTACAAGTAATTACAATTATCCTGTCTGTTAGAAAATTTATTTGTTGGTCGTGTAGGGGACGTGTACTATAAGGGAATTTTTAAAAGGGTTATAGGATTTGTTAAGGATAAACATTAAAACAATAACTTACAAGACATTATAAAGAAATAACACATTTCAATATACAAAATAACGAGACAAAACATAAACATTTACACAGATTTAAAAAAACAGTATTTTTAGAAAAAAGTTTCTAAATCATTGCATAATTTTGTAAATTATTTTTACAAAATAAGAAAAGCAATGAAACAAAACTTAATTCATTATCAAAAAATACTCTTTCCAAAATCTTCTAATACTAAAACATAAAAACAAACACGTATAAAACTTCTAAAGTTGAAAACAGAACTTACTTGAACCATATTTGATATCAACATGGGTAACATAGTTAATGGAAAGCGTAAAATATTAAATAATGATAATGATACGAATGTTTTAGTTGCATCGAGTACATTATTTTCATCAATTAATACATAAGTGGCAAATGTGACCAATGAGACCTGTAATAAAATTTGTCAAATGTAATGTAATAATGACCATTTAAATCGTTTAAAAATTTAAAAAAGCTAAAAGATTTGAATGTTTGTTAAATGCCATAAAGAATTGAAAGTAAACCATAGATGCCAAAAACGTAGATGTTGTTGAATTGTTGACGTTTGCAGAAAGAAATCCTTTTAAGTGAAGTGAAACAAAGTAAACTTTGTTTAAATGAATATGTTGTTGGTTATTATTTCCATTATATCCTTAAGCAATTTATACCTCAGCTATGTCCACCATTAACATGGGTATCGTTATCATTGGCAATTTAATGGCATCGAACAGAGTGAGACCTACAAAAACTTTAGAAGCAGTCAAATGGTTTTCATCGCTGGACAATACATAAGTGGCGAAGGTAACTAAGGAAACCTTAAGGGGGAAAATTTTGTTTTTATTATGTAGAAATTAAAACAATTTTATAGTTGATATCCGCCTCCAGTTTGGTAACCTGTGAAAGAAATTATGCAAAACAAAGACATAAAATGTTAAGAACTTACCAAGAATGGAGCACAAGACCATAAAAATGATGTACTGGCATTTAAGTAGGCTGTGGATTTTAAGGTGGCAATTTCTTTTTCACGAATTTCCAAAACTTGCTTTTCAAAACTGGGCTCCCAGGCGTATAATTTTAGAACCTTAATACCGCTCAAAACTTCATTCATCAACTTAACACGTTCATCCTTGTACTTCATTTGTCTAATTTGATAGGTTTTAATGCGATTGGCAATGACACCATTGACGGGAATTAAAATAATCATCACAGCAAGACCGGCCAATACAGAGGGACCCAACAACTGCCACAAGAAGAACAAAGCCAAACCAATTTGTAAAGGTGCCGACCATAACATATTCAAGTAGGTGGTTAAATCCATAAAACGTTGAGCATCCACAGCCATTAAGTTGACAATTTCACCAACAGTTGACTCTTTACGGGTGGCATTTGAAATGACTAAAGCCTTACGATAAATGGCATTAATCAAAGCGGTACGAATACGTAAACCTACAGTGAACATGCGATGGAAATATTGACCCAAAATAATAGTTTGGGTGGCAGCCAATACGAAAAGTAAAACAGCATAGAAAATACCCTTCCATTCGGCTTGTTTAGTGGCGCCATCTTCTTCGGCGGAGTCTTCAACAAAACCAATAATCAAACGCAATACTTGTGGCTGGGCAAATGTCAAGATATCGGTAAATAATTTCATCATAGAGCCGAATAGGAACACACCGCCAAATGATCTAACTATAGGTGGCATAATCGAAACGGTTCCCTTCTTCTTACCCGTCTTGGGGCCATGAGGATTTTCAAACGTTACCTTGTCTTTGCTAAACTGTACTTTAGGTTGATTGGGCTCTGTTTTAAAATATTTACGCACATTTTTATTCCAATAGTAAGCGAAAATGGGCATAACTTCTTTGCAACTATCCTGAGGATTGAGATCCCACAGATCTTTCTCTTCCAAAGGATTGCGATAGCCACGCCAGGCCATGCCATCAAACCATTGATACGTAATGCGTGACAAGAAACTGGCCGAAACTTCTGGAATTTCATTATCCGAACGTTCGTATTTGGTGAGACGTGGTTTGGCATCGGCGAAACAATTGAGGACCAACATGCCACAGCAGAAGGCAAAGTATATCATAAAGCTGACATATTGATATTCCTCCCATGAAAAGTCAGCATTAGGATCAGCTTCAATAGCGTCGGCACGAAGTTTTTCACCTCTTACCTCGGTGCGACAACGTGCTATCGATAGAATGGTTAAGAAGAACCAAAATAAAAATTGACAGCCAGATGTTTGGATGCCATATTTGCGATTTAGAGGAATGAATATTAAAATGAGTATCTGAAAGATAAAAATAAGAATTATGATTTCAGGAAAATTAAAATACATAAATTCGAACTTATGCATGTTTGAAAAATGTTTAAAGCAATTTTAATTATTAATTATTATGATAAGATTTTTTTATATGTACCGAAATTTTTAAATATTTTTAATGTAATTTCTGAATATGTGTACAATTCTTAAGATATGTTCGAAAGCCCTAAAAAATTATGTTAGAAAAATTTGTCAAAATAATCGCAAAAGATATTTTAAACTATATATGAATAAATGCACATTACACAAAAATAGTAAACTAAATTTAATCTAATCTAAAAGTTTATTATCATAAATGTTTGATTTTAATAAAACAAGTAACAATTAATATATTTTTACTGAACTTTCTGTTCTGTTCAAACTAGAATTCTTGTCAATTCTATTGTATCTGTTTTAGGAAGACACTCTTTCAATTATCTGCCTGCCCACTCACATTGTAACACACAATTTCCGCATAATCACATACATATAGAAATTATTCTCAAAAGTTAAATAAAACGTAAAACAAATAAATAAAATACTTACAAATGTTGCAAATTTAATCACTGGCGTCCATATATGAACGGGATAGATAAGATCTGCCGTATCATTGTCTGCTTTATAGACCATAGCCATAATAAAATCGACAGCAGTTAGCACCAACAAAGACAAGGTCAGCAGTAGTTTACTTATATTTAGTTTATTCCATGGTATATTCTTATCTAAACTGGCCTTCAGATAGTAAAAATCAAATATACTAAATAACCAAAGGAAGGCACATGGTGCCCATACTAATACAGTCTGCTCGAAGCAAGGGGTAAAATCCGGATCTTCTGTATTCCATGTTTCTGCTGAATCCTAAAATATACAAGAAAATTGATTATAAAACAAAATTTCATTCATGACCAAACGTAGCAAAGGTTACGCATAAAATTTACAACTACTTACCCAGAATTTGGAACCACAAAACTCATCCATAGGATGAGAATTGTTGGCCATGGTGTCGTTTTTTCTTTAATTATCGACCAAACCTGTTGTGTGTAAAATTGTGTCTATTTTACTGCTGCCAATATTAATGGGTTTGATTGAATTTATATTGTTTATTTGTTCAGTAAAACAGCACCCGCGCCCGGTCCTAGTCTTACTATAGCAACAACGTGTAAAATCTACGGTGAATAATAATAAAGAAAAAAAACAAAATTAAAAAAAATAACAAAAAAATAATAAACAGCTGAGCAGACACCTATGACGAACAATAACGAAAATAACGGCGGCAAAAAATGGTTTTTAACCAACAGCTAGCTAAAATAACTTTTCTATTTAAAATTAACAACATTTAATAATTTCTATACCAAAAATTGATTTATATTAAAAAATATGAATATTTAACAATTTAATATAGATTTATTCAGCTGAAGTTAATATCTTTATTGAAAAATCTCATAGAAATTTAATTATTAACACAGGGTGTGTCATAAGCTTATTAGTTTTATTCATTAGTAGAAGTCAGGCAACTCTATTTTTGTCTATCTCCCTCTCTATTTTCTGTTAAATTTTCGTTTTTCTAGCAGTTTCTTATTATTCTTTTTGACATTCGTTTCTTGTGTTGTATTCTCGTTGTGCGGAAAGATTTTTTTGCAAGTGAATTTCGTGTGTAAAATATTTACAAATAAATTAATAAAAAACAGTTTTTGCTTAAATAGTTTTAAAAAAATGAGTTCACGTCGCAATTATCTAGATGCTGATAACAGCATTATGGAAAGAAATTTAAGATTTGTTAAGGTAATTTGCGTTTTACTTAATGACGCCACATGATTGGTTACTGATGTTTTTTTTTCATTTATAGAATGATTTGGAGGAAAATCTTAATCAATATTTTGGCGGTTCGTCTAGTCGTAGTGGCAATTCTACTACGGTAACAGCTCCACCACGCGACTATAATGTTGTACAACCTAAACCCGGTAAGTGGAACTATTAAAATGTAGGCTGGAAAAATTTGTTTGCATTGTTATTTTTAATTTTGCCTCATATTGGAGGCTTTAGAAAATAAGTGATGCCAGATTTGTTTGTGGCAAATTGAATCCACATGATATTTTTAAGGAAACTCAGAATTTTAGTATGTAACATAAATTGAGTTATTGCGAAATGATTTTCAGGTCCGGAAGTGATAGGCTTCAAATATTTTGATATAGAATAAGAAATATCTCAATTACTAATTATTCAATTTGTTCGATGTGGGTATCAATTGAATTGGTATTTGAAAAATGTCAATAATGTATCGATACAATAGTACTACTTTATATTACATCAAATGAGCTGAAATAGAGCTCCTGAGTTCACATGCGATTTTCAGAGGGAATTCGAATTTGAGACAGATTTTTTAGACTAATGTGATATACATATTTATCGAAAACTTTTCTGTGGAAAACTCATCGAGAAATTTTCTATAAAAGTTTTTATCGAAAACTTTTTTATAGAAAACATTTATCGTGAATTGTTCTAGAGAATAGAACAATTGTTTAAGAAAACTTTAATCATGAACTTTTCTTTAGAAAACTTTCATCGAGAACTTTTCTATAGAATACCTACTTTCGTTGAGATCGTTTTTATAGAATCGAGAACTTTTCTATAGAATACCTATTTTCATCTAGAACTTTTCTATAGAAAACTTTCATCAAGGAATTTTCTAAAGAAAACTTGAATCGAGAACTTTTCCATAGAAATCTTATTTCTATAACTTTTCTTTGGAAAGCATTCATAGAGAACTTTTTTAAAAAAAACTATAATTGAGCACTTTTCTAAAGAAATCTGAAGTTCGGTAACCGATTGGCATAGTTTAATTGTTGCATCTTACTATTGTATAGGATTTATTGTCTACAGAAACCAGTTTCAATTAAGATTTTTTTAACGATTACAGTTCTACTCTTAAGCATGATTGTTATTTTTTAAATTTAAAACAAAAATTTTAAATTGACGCTTCTATATGGCAGTTTTTTAGAATCAACTTATCATTAATAGTACTTCTTATTCAAAAACCATTAAAATTTTCTCCTATGATATAAAATGTTAAAAAATAATGTTCAAAT